CGGCACAACGCGTTGTGAGTATGTAATCTGGTTCTCAGCGCCATTGTCGGTTCGGTCGATTTCGGGATAACTAAAGACAGAGATTTCCTGGTATAGGACAAACGTTTGCAAACTGAGTGCACATAATGAAAGAGAAGAGCCTTGAATATAGATTATATCGCTAGCATGTCCAACAGGTTGAGTTGTTCTTCTGCACTGGTTTTGGTGAGATTTTTTTTTTTTACATAATTTTTCTTTGTTTTAAGGGCATTTTAAAAATCATTTTAAGGGCATTGTATTGCTCATTTTTAGCGATGTTTTAGGTCATCATAATCTGTTCCATAATGATTACATACTTTAAGCCCACAATTTCCATTTGAATCTTTTTGATATTCTTCATATCATACGAATCAATAATTGTGTAAGAGATAATGATGTACAGACCAAACAGGTGTAACTGTAAAATGTTAATAGCATTGGAATGACACAGTAATGAAAATACTTTTAGGACAAAATCGCAAGCGAAATTTTTTTGAGTCGACCAAGATCGTGTCTGTGATGTTACTGTATAAAACTAAACATACTGTACTAAATCCTCTACTTTGTTTAAATGTCAGACTGAAGGTCAAGTGTCAAGCTTAGTGCCCATGTTGGAATCTAGCAATAGCCTCACCACACACTCAGCTAGTAGTGCATCTGGCACGAACATCCTGTTATAAGGCAGGAAATAACAAGAGCTACCGCATTGGTGAGCGTAGACTGTTTTTATGTTCGTACACATCACATAGTATTTCAGACGCTGCAACTAAAGCAGCGCCGTCTGCATATTTTCTTCACCCCGTTTAGATGCGACGAAAATATACTAAGAAGAAATTAGCTGTAACTGAAACTGCCTTTGCATGGAGTATTGAATAAATTAAAAAGGTAGAAATAATACGTGAAAATAATTATTAGACAAGTTTTTTACAATAATGTTGTAGTGAAATGTAGTTGTATTTAGCATAAGAAATCCAGGGAGTCGGCGCGGCCTGGTGTCCGCAGCGAGCCGCCGCGGGCGTCGGGCGTCGACCGGAAGTGAATGGCGCTCCGGAAGCGCTGCGGTCGCGCTGCAGCCGCGTGGCGTCGCCTTCGCCGCGACGCCGACGCAAACACCGACGCCGGCGACGGCCACGGCGAAAGCGGCGCCCAATAAAAATAATGGCGTCTATGACGGCGTCAACTTCTGTGAAGACAACGGTAAGGATTAAAGATGACGGGCAACGACCAAAGATGCGGGATAACGAGGAGTAAAGGGTAAGGTACGGCAACGACAACAACGGTAATGGTGACGACGAAGGTAATGCTTAGCGCACGGCGAGAATGATGGCAACGGAAATAGCAGCGACAACTGCAGCAGTAGTAACAGCGGCAACAGCGTTGGCAACGGTTGCCGGAATCAGTGGCGTTGGAGATCCTGATTTCCTTGCAATTACGTGCGCACGCGGCAATTTCAAAATATAATGTTCGTTCTGCGCAGGTCCGGTTCCACCGCCAGGAAATGCGCTAACTAGAAGTGAGGAATGAACAGATTCAAGTGTTAGTATTACCTTCTAGTAATAAAGGAAGTAATTTGCGTTTGCAACTGAAGGATATTTCCTTAATATTGGTGTTATACCGTTCATAAGAACGTAATGCAAAATTCTGTCCGTGTAACAGTCCGTCGTTTATGACTTTACGTGGGTTATTGGTTCGAGTAGTCCGACGGCATGGATGTTTCCCTTGTGTTTCCATGGTGGAAGGTCGTTGCAAGGGTTCCGCAAGGGCCGTATTCATTATCCATTTACTTATAACTGCCTAGGATTTGAACAATACCTGTAATTGCCCGAAATGCTGAGGATGTTTCTATGAGAATTCTGTATACCCATTTTCACTCTAATAATGTACTGATGCGTTAATAATTAAAAATTTCCAGGAATGTAAATGCAAATAATGATATATCTCGCGGAGGTACTATAACCAAACGAACTGATATTTATATTTTTATTTAGTCGCGTAGCAATTTAGAAGCCATTTTATGCGATATTTGAACACAGACGTTCATTTTCCGAAACGCTCTGCTTATTAGCCGTAATCTACAGCCCTTTCGGATTCGAATATCGAAGAGGCATTCCGGTTTTCATGCCTCATAAAATATTATTTACATGATTTATAGTAAGTAGATGTCTATTGAAAAAAAATCAACTCAAATTTTAAAGAAAGGTCAATATCTGTTAAAAATATATTATTAAGATAATAATACAATAAAAAAGTGCTACAATCAGGTGGAGGCTACGACGTGTTTCCTGGCACCTCAAAACAGCACCGCAGCTACAGCTACAGGATACGGCGTTAGCCTTGCAAATGTCAGTCTTCGTATCCAGTGACCGCAAATTACGGTGATGTGTTGAGGCAGTTAAAATTTCCACTTTCACATTGTACCTTCTCTTCTCCGTTTCAAATAAATTAAAATAAATTGAAACAAGGAACCTATCGCAGGTCCGGTTGGCCTGCGAATGAGGCAATTGTGCCATAGCGACCTCGGACCGAAAGATTGCGGGTTCGAGTCCCGCCTCAGGCATGGTTGTATTTGTGTTGGTCCATTCACTCCTCGTCAAAACCAAAGCATGTCAAGTTCACAGATGCCATATCGTTAAATATAATAGTGGTCGTTAATGATCTAGAAGTTGATGCGACCTTAAAATAAAAAAAAGTATATCAAAACCGCCTCGAACTCTTGTGGACTCGCGACGTGAATTTGCGATAATTCTGAGGCTGCTCTTATACAAATACTAATATTTTGTGTAATTATTGTGTTTTTCTGTAACTTTCAAAAATATTATTTTTCTTTGATATCATGAAAGACAATCGTGTACAAATTCTTGAGAAAATTAAATCGTTGGACGATTGCTCTCGGAATCATATTTTATGTTCAAATGACACGTTTGATATTTTAATACTTGACAACAAGCAAATGATATATGTGTAGATTTCATTCAACAACTTTCTCAAAGAGTTCACCACATGGTACAACCTCGGAGCTTATCCCAGACAAGGTGGCGCCCTTCTCGTGGAGATACAAGGAGAGGGAAACGCCTGCAAACCAATGTGTAGGGCGGCACTCATCTCACTACTAACTGATGTCACTGCAGTGCCTCTGACCTGGAGATCCTGGTGTTCTAGTCCCGAAGGTGGCCGATTTTCGACACTAGCCAGGTAGCTAGGTCGAGTTCCGTTCCTGTCTGAAGGAAATTTCTAGCGATCGGCTGCTCTGATGGGTAGTTTTCCGCGGTTTATCTGATCAATACCAGGCGAATGCGGGAACAGTAACTACCAAACGGGCAACGGACAGCGCGCCCGTGTACTACCCTCTCCCCTTGCACACACACTTACACTTACTCTAACACGCACTACACACGAGACTAACACACACTAACACGTACTACACTACGCGATCTTTCCTTCCAATTTCTTGACTTCTGTTACGTCTTTTACACCCCTACATGCACTACACTACCACATAGGCTGGTCGGTAGGGCAGAGCTTGCCCCGGATGGGGTGGAGTCCCCGCTGCCGCCGGTGGGAGATATCTGGTTGCGAAAAACCCAGCTAGCCAACGGTAGGTCGGCGCCGGATCTCGCCATCCTACGACCGCCGCTACCTCCCCAGAAAAACACGAACTACACTTAAGGTACTAACGACTTTAGCAGTTTGCGCGCCCGGGATCACCAAGCAATCAATCGAAATCGGTTATGAATTCAATTTTTATACGTATGCACTCCCAACGCTTAAACGAGACCTTGCAGCAGCCTCGCCGTGGAAGACGCATTTGCCCCTTCGGGCGGCGGCCAACGTTCCAACGGGTCCCACCGGAGCGGCGGATGCTCTCACGAACGCAGCAGCGGAAACGAGTCAATCGGTTGTACGCTTCAACGCTGTTACCAACACAAGCGCGTTGTTGTTAAGAGCCGCACCGACAACGGTTCATGTGCGTCGACGTTGATTGTTTCAAGAACCGCGCGCTCGTTCCTACGACGTCGCTGTGAGAAAAAAATGTACGCATCTCTATTCCTGGTGTAGAACGGGAGTAATGAGGGTTAAGGAGGTCATGTATGTGGGGGCAGTGGCAGTGTAGATGGTCCCGTATTCACGTTGTGGATACGAAAAGATTTTATCCGTACAGGTTCGCGTATCTCGCTACAACACCCAATCACTCACACACCTCATTCACTCACACTCATATACTCACCCCACCTCATACTTCCACATCCCCAAGTCCCCACCGTCGACCGTTGACCACACTACACATTCGCACCCACACACATATCCATACTTACACCCCCACATACACACTGCGTCTCGCGCACAACAGAGCAACCGTCACTTGCACGAATTAAATAAAGAATTCTCTTTATAGTTTTACACGTACTCGCGTTCAAAAGACAAAAGGAACCTGAGTTGATAATAATCTGTGGTCCAGAGATTTTTTCGTGACTTTCACTCGTGACGTTGTAATCAATGACGGTTCTGTTCACTCGTTTATACATCAACATCTGTAATACAAGTATTTTTGGCAACATAGTTAACTAAACTTACTAATTTAGCGAATATAATGGCCTTACACTTCTCAATCGTAATCTTTCTTGACTGTTGTCATGGATATTTATTTCAAGATGGTTTTAGTGATTCTCAAATGCCATCTGGACGAAAACTGTAACGTGTATCTAAAATCTATCTCTCTTAAAACCTCGATGTTGCTAGGATATTATCCATTCGAGAGACTTGGTTGTTTATTTTCATGGGAAGTGATAAGAATATTCTTATAGAACCAGTATTCAAAGTAAATGACATACATATTATTTTTTATTCTCTATTTGATACAAGAAAATTGCATAATATTCGACGCAGAAATAATGTACACACAATTTATCGCTTGCATACATTTTGCTTGAAAAATGCTTGTACAGACAAGCGTAGACATAATACATGGGCGAGGGTAGACATACTTGCCTTCGAGTATGAGTCACACGGCGAAGGCGACGCCAGGAGCGACAGCCGAGTTGGTGGCGGCGGCAAGGAGGGGGGAATTCGAGGTGAGGGCGAAGGTAGAGACGCTGGTGACGGCGGAGGCGTCTTCTGAGGCGGAGGCGAGGGCGTCTTCTGAGGCGGAGGCGACGGCGGAGGCGAGGGCAGATGGGACGCAGGGAGGCGGAGGGTAAAGTGGATGCGACAGCTACGGGACGTCGCAAGCGGAGGCGGAGGCGATGGCGGAGGCGACGATGACGGAGGCGTAGGCGGTGGCGAAGACGACAGCGGAAGGAAGCCGTGGCGATGGCGAGGGTGGCGGAGGCCCCGATGTCGGGGCGGAGGGAGGGACGGTGACGCAGGCGGCGGTGGGTCGTGCGGAGCGTGGGAGGCGCGGTCAACGCTCGTGGACGCGCGCGCCTGCCTCCGCCTTGACCCAGTGCGCGGTTGCCTGGCGACGGCGGCGCGCGCTGCCGCAGCCGGTGCCGGTGGCGGTGGCGGTGCCAGGCAGGTCGCGCGCAGCGGCTGCTGTCGGCCGCGAAGGCGGGGCTGGGGTCGCGCGGGACAGATGCAAGGTGCGGGCGGAGAAAACGGACAATGGGCGCTGCGGTAGAGAGGGGGTCACCGGCTCGGAGAAGCGCGTTGGCGCCGGAAGCGATCGCGGACGGGGGCGGGGACTGAGATCACCATGGGTGGTGATAGTGACAGTGTCAGTATCTGTGGCGGGAGGTGATAGCGACGGTGTCAGGTTCTTGACCGGAAAAGACAATGCCGGTATCGGCGTTGATGACGGTCGCAGAATTAGACAGTATCGGTGACATAGCGGCAGAGATGACGGTGACGGAAGTGGAAGAGGTGACATCAACGGTAGCGTTGAGGATGAACGCGGCAGAATTGACGATGAAGGTAACGGCGGAATTGACGATGAAGGTGGCGGTAGAGCTATGATGGTAGCGGCAGTATTGACGATGATGGTAACGGCAATGCTGACTATGATGTTAACGGCAGTGCTGACTATGATGTTAACGGCAGTGCTGACGATGACGGCATCGGGGGAGGTGTCTGTGACAGAAACGGGCGGTGCCACCAACTCCGTTGGTGCCGCAGGGAGGGAGAATGGAAGCTAGTGAGTCGGGGGCCATCCGGAGGCTGGCGGCCGTTCATGTTTCCAGGAGCCGCTCGGGTCGTCGCCTGCCGCTCAGCGCTCAGGTGTGGGCCAGTAACGGGTCGTTCGCGGAAGGGCGACCCTGGGGGCCGCGACCCCAAGCGCCCGAGGTCGGAGGCAGTCGCTGTTCAGAATTGCGAGTCTATCGGTAGGAGAAACGTTATGCAAGGGCAAGCTCTTTCCTTATGCTTTTGACTCGCGTGTCCGAGGTTAAATTGTAGTACGGTCACGTCTGGCACTAGTAGTGATGTCACTCGTCTCACAACGTGTTTATAATCAACTCTTGAACGCAATACTTTATTATTGAAATCTTCTATTTTTTTCATAGCACATGACTGGTTTTCCAAAACCCAGAACCGCACTTTGCGTTCAATAAATTATTATTGAATATACAAAATTTTTGTTGTAAATATATTAACTTGTTACAAAAAAGTGTTAAAGTAAGATTATTTCCTTGAAAAAATGTATCAATGATGATTTACAGTAAGTTAGTTTGAAAACTTAACACGGAGGATAAGAAGGATCTTGTACCGAAGAGACGTTTACGACCTTTTTATACAAATCATTTCGTACGCACCAGGGTCCACATAGAGGTTCAGATGCTTTATTACAGAAATCAAATGCTAATATAAGACAATTTTGGGTGTGAGATAATGTCGTTTGAAGCTTCATTCTCGCCGAGTTGTTTTCTAAATTTTACAAGACCAAGGATACATTAATTAGCTTCTGAACATTGCTACTAGGTTTCTAATGTTTACTGTTGTATTACTTAATAAAAATTTGGTTAGCAATACTTCAATTCAATTACAAATACGTGTAATGTTTTTAAATAGCTTATATCTTCCATAAATGTGATATTTTATTCAAAATTTACGGATTTTGAAAGGCATTTCTATCTTACCCTTGCGCAAAATCTGAAAATGTTTATGGTGTAGATGTGCGTGTGTGAATGTACGAGTGTGTGGGGGAATGCATAACAGAACTAATCTTTACTCAAGTTATTCAAGAACTGAAATTGCGGCACAATAGTATTGAAGAAAAGAGAAGAGAAAGAGATTAATAAATAAAATGTGATAATATTCTAATATATCTACCTAAAGTTGATCTGTCGTAGTTAAAGTAAGAAACTGAAATTCAATGGAAGTTCACAGACATGTCTTTTCATTCAAGATCATTCGTTTGTTTTATATTTGTTTGTTTTATCTAAATAAAGTAATAGAATTTTTATTTAAATCACCGAGTTAGACCTCCGATTTTAACACAGCAGCGTACAGATTACAGCAACTATCAGAACCTAAAAAAAATCCTTTGCACAATTTTTCATTATTAGTTGAAAAACTTTAAATATATATTGCAATGTATGCTACAATAATAATATTATTATCATTCTACTATTATATAGTAACAAATGTCAGTCTAATCATATAAATAAGCAATAACAAAAAAGCGTTGAGATCAATTATTGGATCACGAAGATTTCTTTAATCCGGCTCTATCAATCTGCGAGCTCCCAGGGAAATCAATAGAGGTTCTGTTTGCACGAAAAATGCCTATTATGATACCTAACACCGATCGAAATCAATATACTTGTAGGTACACAAATATTTTTACAAGCTTCCAATTCGATCACTTCTGATGAAGTCACACTACACGTTCTGGGTGTCGTGTTAACCTCTCTCCCATCAGGCGTCTCGTTTCGCGACCCAGCTCTTTCCCACGCGCTGTCGCATTCCCCGCATTCTGCGACACACATCGGCCCCCGGCAACCGTGCCCCGTGCCCGCGCCCCGCGCCCCACCGCCTCGCACCCCACGCCGAACTCTACGCCCCCGTCACCGCGCACGTGTCACACTCCATGCCCCGCGCCCATCGTTGCGCAACCTCAGCGCCGAACTAAAGTCCGAACCCGCCCCACACCCATCGGCCGCGCCCAGTCGCCCGCGCCATCGTCCCCGCCCCTCGTCCGCGCCCATGCCCCGACCCATGCCCGAGCCCATCAAACCCGCGCCCCATCGCCGGCCCACGCGCTTTCGTCCAATGCCCGCGCTCCCATTCGCCCCGGCCATTCGCCCCGAGACCATGCGCGCCCATCGCCCGGCCATCGCCCGCGCCGGCCGGCCGGCCCCGCGCACCGGCGCGCCCGCGCACGGCTCAGCGCGCACAAAAGCAAGGGGGAGGGAGAGGCATGCCCTAGGGGACAATTAGCACGACTGCAACGATTGGAAAACTTGCATTCGAATAAAGTCTCACGATGGAGGTATAGCCTTGATCGGGTTTTGCGGGACGAGGACGGCATGGTGCATCAGCAAATGGATGCGTTATATTATTATTTTATTATTATATTATTATTCATTATTATTATTTATTACTATTAATATTTTATTACTATTCTATTATTTTTATACTATTATTACTATATTATTATTATTATTATTACTATTATTTCCTAAATTCATGGCTAAATATGGTGGGTGTTCGTTAATACAAATTATACTCCAGGTTGCAACAAGCGTCTTAAAAAGCATACCCAATGTGGGTGCCTCTACTATGCTTTAGGCAAAATATACACGGTATATAATAGTGCGGTATTATTCCCTGCCACTTCTCTGTACACTTCCCTATCCTTATAAAAACTTGGGAGATTAAGTTTAGAAATTCTCCACTCACTAATATGCTGCAAATACAATTTTTGTGAAATTCCTTAAATTTTCGAAATTTGCAAACGTTTAATTGTTTTGAAACTTCCTAAAATCACAATATTGTAGATGGAGATTTTTATCAATGAAATCTAATCATCAAAACGAGATTCTTAAACAAGGTCCTGTACATTGTTTTAAAAATATGAGTAGTTTTCGTGCAATTTTTCTTCGAGTGCAGTGCAGTGCAATGTTACAAATAATATTTTTCAAAAACTGCTCCACATTTTTTTGAAACATTTTGAATGATGAGAGTTAAATGCACAGAAAACTATAGTATATACGTTATCCTGATGTAGTCTTAATTTTTCAATCTTTACACAAATGTATGTTCAAGTACAACTAAATTTACTAACCGTTACAAATAATGGGTAAACGTACGAGATGTTGTAACATCGCTAGTTTCACTCCAGATATAGAACTCGTTGAAAACGTGAAGAAAGAATTACACTACCTGCCCTACATACCTTCCCGCCATTTAGCCTTTTAGTCTGTTGAGACAATCTCTTTTCAGAAAATAACGTTTTTTTTCTTTTTTTTAATGGATTCGATAAGGAAAACAGGCTTTTATGTTTCTTTCGATAAATGATAAAGTTTACTTACATGCAAACCCTTCCAATGAGAAATAAGAACGTGGACATTAACTTTCTCTCCCTAAATTACTCTCTAGAAACCGTTTTCTCAACTTAATATTTCGTCACTACTCAAGCGATGCCCTACACATCATTGCCATGCCCTATATCATTAAACAGGTATCATGATAATAACAATCATGTAGTACACACAACTCACCCTTACTGTATGTAAGAATAATTATATAAGCATGAAAATAATAAGAATACATTGCCATGAATCTGCTTACATTTTCATTGAATGTTCTTGTAATGTTGCGACCAATTATAAGTCGTTCTTTGGTACTACCATATTCGTTTTTAGTATGGTAAGGACATATCCCTGGTAGAGCTTCCATGAATGTATGGGCTAATGAAAGCTATACCTTTCACTTCACAATTACATAGAAATGGCCATTGAAAGATACTCAAATGTAGTTCAAACAACGGTCATAGAAATTCAAAATGTTTTAGAACATCAGTAAAAAATTCCAGTTTAAACGAGCTTATACTGGAAGGTCTGTAATCGGTGTAAATTGGTCATTAAGAAGTATCGCAGTAATTACTTCGGTCATTAAGCATAATATAAGAAATTCTGTTCATACGTCATGGCAACTTCATTACTCTAGAAAAATATATTAATTTAGACCATATTGAAAACAGTTTACTGAATGAAACGCAACATTTCGGAATATTACCTCAGAAAACCTTAAGAGCATGCATTTGCACCATAAACATGCAGAATTTAATAGATTGATGTCATAACCATAAAATAAAACTGAAAAACATGTCTCAAAGGGAACTAGGAACTACTTAGGATGATATTAAAAATGTGTACAGATGCTTATTTTATCGTCTCATTTTGAAGGCTAATTGACGCATTAAAAACATTTTTCTTCATTTTTTAAATTTTTTCTTCTTTTGTAATTTTCCCCACAAAGTTCAGCATTTTCATAGAGACCACAAATATTAAAGGTTTAAAGTTTAATATTTAAAAATGTACAAAGTGAATGTGAAGATTAAAATTGTGCAAAATAATTGTAATAGTATCCAATTAGTCTGCCAAATCTACCATTGTTGTACTACCAGTATGTTAGTTTAGACCAGCATTTTGTACAGCT